ACAGTCGTGTTGCGAGGACAAACGCTAAAATTGATGTTGTGTTGCTAGTCATCTTCATCATCATCCTACATGGTCTTATAGGTTTTCTTCTTCCTCTTAAAATTCAAACAGTCTTTCTAAAAATTTTCAAATATCTTGCATTCACAACATTGATTCTTCTCTATATCCTCATTCTGAGTTTTTTGAGAATGTGTATTGGAAGTTGGAACGCTGATTGTTGTACTTGAGTTTAGATGACTTTTTCCCTTTGAGTTTTTGAACTTTCTTTGGCAACTCATCAAATTTTTTGGAAAAATCGTCAGCGCATCATCAAATTCAAAATCTTTGAATTGTTCTCTCTCACCTTCTTCACCATTTGACTGTGCTGGAACACTGACCTTCAAAATTATGCCTTTGCTTCTCATCTTATCGTAACCACAATCGATTTCAAAGGTTCAAAGGTCTCCAAGTAACTCATCGAGACTAAGATGCTCAACTCGCTGAAAGGACTCAATTGCGGTGATCTTCTCACAATATCGATTAGAAAGGGTCCTCGTGATCTTTTGCGCTTGTCTCACCTCAAAAATCTCTTCACCAAGCATGGCGCTTTGGTTTACGAGTTTGCAAAAGCGTGTATAATACCTATCAATACTTTTATCATCCTTCATGCGAATTTCGTCGAACTCCGTGGTAATTCTTCACCGCGCTAGTACCTTCAAATTGACGCTCGAGGATTTTTCACGCGTCGCGTGCCGTCTTGCATTGTATGATCATGTTGTGGCACGTTTGAATCACGTCGGTCATAATGGCGTAAAGTACTCTGAAATTAGCTTGCTCATAATTGACTATTATAAATTAACTTATCATAATTAATTACCAAATGCATTCTAAGTCTTTTCAACTAGTTTGCTTGCTCATAATTGACTATTACAAATTAACTTATCATAATTAATTACCAAATGCATTCTAAGTCTTTTCAACTAGTTTTTTTCGTTTTCCTTTTTATCTTCAGTTATTTGAATACAAAAAAAAATTATATTAATTAACTAAATAATTTATAACTATAAATATAAATAAAACAAATAAAGCGTAGCTGTTTTCGTTCATTCGTTGTAGAAAGAGGTCTGACCCCTAATAATATGTTAGTCTGATCAATAGTAAAGAAGGACTAATATATGTCTGATCAATAGTAAAGAAGGTAGTTGTCCCCCAATTCTCTCCAGGGCGAAACCCTACCTCCGCGGCGAGCTCCTCTAATTCCCGGCGAATTTGCCTTCTTCGATGTCGGTTAGTCACCACCAGGGGTCGTCGATGACCGTTCCGGCCTCCTTTGACGTTGCACGCTCCTGATTCTCGGTGGATGGGATGCGATTTGACTCTAGTAGTTGCGGTCTGCGGTCAGGGGTTCTAGCGGCGGCGCCATTCCCGGTCGGCGTTTGGTGGTGGAGTTCTTCCGTTGCCGGTGAAGCTCTGATCGGAGATGGTAAGTCCTCTGTCCCTCTTATATGTGACTGGTGGGTTGACTTTCCGGCAAAGCTTCATCTTTTCAAGCGAGTTGGAGACTCTGGTCGGGGTGTCTGTGGAGTGATCGGGCGGTGCGCAGGTCTTTGGGTGGACGGGACTCTGGTGGCTGCGGCGTTTGGTTGCGGTGGTCGGGGTGAGAGTCGTTTCTCTCGCACATTCCCCCACTTTGCCTAGTGGTGTTAGACGGCGGGGGAGGTTCCATGGGTTTCGTCTAGTGGTGTTAGATGAGTTCGGGTGGAATCGGTGTGGGGTTGACTTGGCTCTCTCGGTTATTGATGGGTCGATTCGGGGACTGGTTTAGGGTTAGGTTTCTTCTACTGTATAGGCTTGATTGCAATTTTGGTAGCAGACACTTGGCCCCGATTTGTATTGTGTCGATCGTTCACTGCTGGTTTGGGCTAGCTTGTTCGCCGAGAAGGGCTGTTATTTTGTTTTAGTTTATTGTGTTCTTGTTTTGTGTTTTATTGTAGTATGGTCTGTGTCTTGTGTTTTTGGTTTGGGTCGTTGGCCCTTGTGAGCCCGAGTGTCAACCTTATTATTCTGTTGGGATCCGACACTCGGGTATTACTCTGTTGGGGTCCTTGTAGCTGTTTTAGTAGTTTTTGTTGTTGGTTAGTTTAGTTGCGAGTGTTTTTATTCTAGCGTTGCTAGCCGAGATTCTAGACGGTCTTCTGACCTGTTCTCCCACTTTTTTAGCTGTTGGCTGTTGTGTATTCAGTTGTTGGCTGTTGTGTATTCGCACATTTGTGCATTTTGATTTATAATATTATTCGTCGTTTTGGAAAAAAATAGTAAAGAAGGTGCATCGAATGGGACAATGCGCTCTTACTGTTCACGAATCTACTGCTTGAGAATCGGCTTATAGTACAGAGGCTCTAAAATATACCAAATAAGAAAGAAAAAAAAAACACAAAATCCCAAACACTTCTGATTTGAGAAGGAAATTAACTCAAAAAATCAAATAGTCAAAAAGCAAAATTTAACCAAGCCAACTGAAAGGTTAAATAGTTCAGGAATGAAATTTGAATCCTCCATTGGAGGTCTGAAAAATCTTTGGTTTTCTCCTGCTTCTCCTTCATCGAGTTGCTCGTTCCATTCTCTCAGCTCGACCACACTATTCGACTCACACAAAACTGAGGGCCCAACCTGCAAAATTGCTCATGCAACAATAAATTAGAGAAGAAACTAAATATTGTACCTCATGTACTTATTGATCAATATTTACTTGATTTTTATTTTCAAGTACAACATAAACAGACTGCTATCCAAACAAGTACTTTGGGTTGTAAAGTTTGTAAAGAGTTTAAAGTTTAGGATCTTATAGCTTTGTCCTAACCGAACATATACAAACCGATGAATGCAGAGCTCTGTTACGCTTTCTATAGATTAAAATGAATTTACATACCGTGGCCGTGGAGTTAATAAAGTCGTTTAGCTTCAGTTAAGACACTACGTCTCTATCTTGGAGTGTTTCATCATTATTCCATGGGTCGATGTCAAGTCCATTTGGGACGGTCTCATAGTACTCTCCTAGAAATATGAATCGATCGGGCTGCCGGACAACTCTCCCACTTCGATGAGGTACTGCTCGCACAAGTGTATCGTCGGTGATACGTGTTACAGTATTTTGTGGTGTAACAAAAGGTGCACTCGATATTGGAGTACGAACCCCCCTCCCTATCTCCTCTAGGACATGTCTACTACTAGGCTTATGGTCCATAATATAGTCTTCTTCCAAGAACCTCGCTTTCCTACTGAGCTTACTTTCCGGTCCTCGGGACTATAAAATAGACCACCTTTCGTTTCCTTAGGGTATCTGAAAAACAACCTCACTTCTGAACGGGATTCCAACTTATCAATATTCGTCCTCAACACATGTGCTGGACTACCCCATATATGGAGATGTCATAGACTAGGCTTACGTCCTGTCCAAAACTCCATGGGTGTAGATGGTATTAAGTTAAGTATATGAACTGTTGTTTCTAGAGCATATCTCCAAAATGAATCAGGCAAAGAACTATAACACAACATTGCGCTAAACAGTTCCATATCATTCTTATTCTCTAGTACGACTATGCCATTTTGTTGGGGCGTACCTGGAGCAGTCAACTGGGACATAATCCCATTATCAGTTAAGTAATTCCTATACTCTCCCGAGAGATATTCGCCACAATGATCTGACTTGATACTCTTCCCTAATTGCTTCTCCACAACTACTTTATACTCCAAGAATTGGTCGAAGCATCCAGTCTTGCGGCACAATAAGTAAATGTA